GGCCTGAGAAATCACAAGCTGATAACTGATGTTGCAACAAGATGGAACAGTGCATATGACATGATCGAGAAGTTCTTGGAACAACAACCTGCAATTTGTGCAGCCTTGCTGTCACCAGAAGATGTGACAAATACAGAGGATGCTGTGAGGGCATTAAAGCCAATGAAGGATACAACAGCACTGATGTCAGAAGAGAGCAATCCAACAGTGTCTCTCATTGCTCCTCTAAATGCGCAACTCCTCCAGAATATGTCAGACACCACCGGAGACTCACACATAATGCGTGATATCAAGAATGCAATCAGAACAGATCTCCTGAAAAGGTACAACAGTGAGTCAGAGAAGAGGATCTTTCATGCAGCCTCTGCCCTGGATCCCCGATTTAAGGGAATGCCTTTTCTTACAGAAGAGGAGAGATTGGAAGTATACCGAGCACTGACAGAGGAGAATGCATCCTTGGAGGTAATTCTATCATGTTTCTTGTACAATATATAAAATTAAAACACACTTAAACACTTATAATATTAATAGTAGCTAAAATGTTAAGTAATTTATTAATTATAATATATATATATATATTTAATAATCCTAATATATGAGCTGTTGTAGTGACTGAGTCTGTCACTATCTACTAGTTTAATTGTATTTTCAATTATTTTGTTCACAAACAGAATGAGTGTGCGCGTAGAAGTACAGAAGTGGATGAAGCACCTGAGGGAACAGGAACTCTAGGAGAAGAAACATCCATGGAGGACAGCCCCTCTGCTGCTCCCAAACGAAAGGCCTCATCGTCATCGCTGCTTGTCAGTTTGCTGGGACAGTCTTTCACTGACACTGAAGGTACAGTAAAACCCAAGACCCCTTATGTCATTGCTAAGGAGGAAATGGAGGCATACTGTAAAGCTCCATCTCTGCCTCTCACTGAGGACCCTTTGAACTGGTGGCGTGTCCATGAGGTCATGTTTCCTCTCCTCTCTCTGCTGTCCAAGCGATACTTGTGTATCCCAGGCACAAGTGTGTCTGCAGAGCGAGTTTTCTCCACAGCAGGAGATGTGGTCACTGCTAAAAGAAGCACTCTTAAACCAGAGCATGTGGACCAGTTAGTGTTCTTAAAGAAAAATCTACAAATTCCCAAATGCTGAGCAGTGACTCATGCTGAGCTGTTTGTGATGTTTCAGGAACTTTCCTGTGCCCAGTTCTGAAATTTTATATTTGTTTTTATTTTGTGTATTAAAACACTGCTGAAGTGCAAATTAAATTTTTTGAAGACAAGTGTGTGACCTGGCCTCTTGTTTATTTTGGTGTATAAATTTAATGTTTATAAATTTATTTACATTTAAATGATTTACAAGAAAGTACACTGCACTTCTAGATATAAGTTCTAAAGTACTAAAGTTTATTTTGGTTTATAATTTATAATTTC